TCAGCGTGTCCAGGCAATGGGGCTGGAGAGGCTGAGCCTGCTGAGCTCCCAGATGAATAGGAGCGATGGACACATTACTGCAGTATTATAATGCCCTTCGGCAAAGGGATTAGAGCTTGGCCGTATTGCAGCAAGTCTCCCTGGTTAAAATCCCTTCCCTAGTACTGCACCAGAGAGAAAAAGACTGCAGTCCTATCACATAACTGTCATATAACAACTTCCCTTTCTAAAAGGCTCTTTTAGACCCAGGCTTCATATTCTGCAAGCAGAGGACAAGATTTTGCCAAGGGAGAAAGATTTCCTTGAAGCAGAACGACTGAAGAATGCTATCGCTCACTGAGCTTGGCCAGGAAGGAATGGAGCAGCGAGTAATCTCACCGAAGCCTCCTACAGCCAAATCCACAGGCATGTAAGGTAACAGCATTCACTTTGCTCTAGTTTAATGCGTTCAGCTCTGTGTGTTTCTAGAAACCCATGCCGAACCTCGGGGTTGGCCTTTAGTGAAGGCAAAACCCATAGAGGGGTCAGGGAGTGTGGCACCTGGGGATGAGGCAGGCAACGTGCCGTTCCCCAGCATGGCAGACCCAGGGAAGCACGTCCCATGTACAGTCAGGGACAGGGAGCAGCGGGGGTATGAGCAGAAGTCACTTCTGCAGCAGCTGGAGGAACAATCTTTGCCAACCACCTCTCTCTTCCTGCCCAAGCACCAGCTGCCCAGCTCCTGTTTCCCTGCAAACCAGAGCTCTGGGCATGTGTTGGCCAGTGCAGCCTTGTACTAAAAGCACAAGGCAGGTATTGGTCTGGGGTGCGTAAAAGCTGCCTATTTGGCTTTGCTTGGAGAGCTCGGGCAATGCCTGCACCCCTCACCTGTCATGGTGCAGAGCACCTCAGCTCCTGAAGCAACACTGCCATGCTGCAGCAAGCACAGCTTTGCACTGCACAGGTCAGTTGAGGCTACTGCCATGCAGAACCTCCCCTCAATGCTAAGAAGGGAATAATGCTTTGAAGGAAGGGAGACATGAAGGCCTCTAAGAGTTTGCTAGAGAAACTACTCATCCATGGAAGAAGTTTCTTCTCAGCTGTCCTATCGAGAGATTGATCTATGGCCAGAAGCATAAGCATTTATAACCTTTGTTAAAAATAAAGTACTGTGGATGCGTCATGTTTTTAAGGGTTGGCCTCAGCAGTATCTTGTGGATGCGAGGTTCTTCTGGTTTGTTTTCCCTTGTATGAAGTGCCCATCTTTATTAGTTTTGAACAAGCCTCCCTCTCATTGTCATCAGCTATGCCCACGTTCTCACAGTGAGAGCAGACACTGGAAGAGGTGGGGGACCAGAGCAGAAGATACACAAACTGCACAATGTATTCCTGAAGGGAACGGGGTTCACAGCTGATGTTTGCTCAAAACCTGAATTTCTGTTTCAACAGCTACTAAACAGTAAGAGCCGTGGCCTGAAAGACAGCTCACATTTTGCTTGGGTTAATTTGATGTTATTTGGACTTCTGAATCAATCCCTTCCTCACCTTCCCAGCCACTTACAGAAGAAGGGACTTCTCAGCTCTTCAGCA